GTAAAGTCTGTTTACGAGCCTAGTGGCCCATTAGGCCGGTGCTTAACTCCGGTTTCTGTAGCATGAAGCGACTAGGAGTATTTCTACTCCCCCCTGGATGGGATGCCAGTCCATCGCAGGGTTACCCCCCAGCATTAAATTGCCGGTACCCATTTATACACCTGGGTGAAGAGAGGCACTGTGAGGGTAAAGTGTCTTGCCTAAGAACACAACACAATGTCCTGGCCGGGGCTAGAACCCGGACCACTCGATCCGGAGTTGAGCGCACAAACCATGAGGCCACCGCGCCTCCACATCCATTGAGCTAACCGGGAGGAGTTCTTGTAACTGCTTCACGAGGAAAGATGTGGAAGCTGGTGAGGAGAATTAACAATCAGATCTTGGGAGTTAAAGGTTGATTGTTTAGCTACTGCTTGTTTTTGATTTAATTTACAGACTGACGCTCATTATTCTCTCATCCTGCTATTGTTGACTCTTGCTGATTCACCTACTAATGTTGACTATGAGCCTCCACCATCTGAACATTCTTCAGGTATGTCGCAGGGTTTTGCTGAGCACCGGGTGCTGACTAAACCTGTTCGCTGAGAAAAAGGTGATCCCAGGCTTTAATTTGGCTATAGTGATCATTTGGTTAAGTGATGCACCCTCAATCCTTTGATATCGAAGCTTATGATCCATTAAACATTTTCACCTACATGTGATTGGTCTAAACGCATCAAGTGACTGAATAGTCCCCAGCAAAAACTGGGGGATATCACACTTATGAGAGCCAATCAGATTGCAAGGATCACCAGTGATTTCAAAATGTAATGTATAATGTAATGTAATGTATAGATATCAATAAACATTTAGAACTTTGGTGTGATTCTTGTTTGTGTGATATGTCATGTGGTCTTGGAGTTCTAAAATCAGTCACTTCTCTGTTGAAATTATAGAAGAGGAGTGGTTTGACTGGAAAAGTTATTTACTTGATGGAGAAGAAGAAGAAATTCTTGGCCTGCCTGTTCAGCATGATCAGGTATTGAATTACCAATTTTGTTTGTTATTCTAGAGGATTTCCCTGGGAGTAAGCAAAGAATTTCTTTAATAGATTGTTGGATATCTAAACTGAGTGAAGTTTTTCTGTCGTGTTTTTAATATTTTGTAAAAATATTTTATTTCTATATATATTTGATGTGTTATTTACTTTGTTATATTTGCAGGATTGGTCGGATGAAGAGGTAAAAACATCTTTCCTTTGTAAATGATATCACTTTAGGTATTGTGTCTTGTTTGCCGACCGGGGAGATTACTTAGGTCAACTATGCCAATTATTTAAAACATTTCACTTCCAAGATGAGAGAGATAACTCTTCCAACACATGACCATACACTTCATTACTTACTCAAACTGTGAACTCAGAAAAATTGAAGAGAGCCCAGTGCTCTGAAATTGTGAAATCCAGGGTTCCCAGCATATGTTTTTTATGAAAAAACTAGAATTTCTGAGTTTTCCAAGAACAAAAGTAAGGCACCAGGGGCCCACTGGGCACTGCTAGTCTGACCAATGCCCTGCTTGCCAATGCTTAGAAATTTGTGTTCCATTGACAGAAGGTGATATAGCCTGGTTGATAATTTCTCTAATTGTCAACGCTTCACTGCTTGACACTGTGTCAAAACCAGGAGAGAACTGATCCCGTTAATGAAGTAGGGAGTGAAATGGCTAATGCTGTCATTGTTATACAGGATGAGGACTTGGATTTGACAAGTGATTCTGGGATCAGCATTGTTGAGAGGCAATTGGCCAATGATCAAGAAGAATCTCAAAGAAGCGTAGAACACAATGTCAGGGATAGAGAAGGGATTATAAGCCCCGGTGATGGCGAGGTATAGTAGATAATGATCGAATGTTGACAGATTTTCAAAGGACACTTTATTGTTGTGTCAGAGTTTTTCGTTGCAAAACTTAACAGCAGGGTAATAAACTTATTGAACACAAATTTGGTATGGATCCTGGAAAACCTGGAAAGTCCTGGGCCGGGTTGTTCAAAGGCGGGTTAAGATAACCCAGGGTTACAGGGAAATTTAATTGCAGATCTGAAAGCTTTAAAATAAAATTCACTTTAATTCCATTTGTTTACAATTTGATGACTGAATGCTCTAAGAAGAATTGGGAAAATTATCTTAAAATGGCTTTTGAACAGAGAAATATAGAAACCTGGATTAAAATTTAATCCTGGGTTAGCGCTAATTGATCTTCGAACAACTGGGCCCTGGAATTTTATTTTGACATTTTCTAGGACTGGAAAGTCCTGGGAAAAGAATACAGGTCCTGGAAAGTGCTGGAAATCTGTCTAATGCAAGTTTAAACAAAGTTTTCTTAATTTATGTCATAAGAAATGCAAGTAAGTGGTGTCAGTGGAGGATTGATTTTAAATTCTTGGGAATGATTGAAAAGGGTTTTAGGAGAAATTTAGAGTCCTAGAAAAATAAATCTTAGTTCCAGAAAAGTCCCTGGAGAAGTCCTTAAAATAAGTTTCTGAAAAAGAGTATGAACCCTGTGAACAAATGGGGGTAAGTTTCTAAAGAAACTATGTTGCTGCGTCAGTGGGGGAGAATAACAAGGTGATTTTGGTTTTATTGACTAAGTTGATATTTTTTTAAATTTAATTTATTGATTTATAACAGATTCCAACAACTAAGAGGCTCTTCTTCTGTAACAATGCTAATCTAATCTAAGTATATATATGTAGTAACTAGTTAAAAGACAATTAATCAATGTAACTTATTGTGAGATATTAAAATATATGATACATATTATGTGGATTCAAGACCAATACTTAGCAACCAAATGTTTCTTAGCACATGTTAATTGCCATGAAGGGTTCAATGCTGATGTTTTGCATGTTAGCCCTTTGTCAGAGGCCTTTGTCTATTTGCTCTGATGAAGGGCTAACACTTGAAACGTCAGCCTTGAAACTCCTTACAGTGGCCACCCCACATTATCAATTCAGTTGATAAAACCAACATTACCTTGTAATAGGCTAACTGAGTAACTAAGTCACAAGTGTATATTTTCCATGTCTGTAAAAAAAAATTACCAAGGGCATATGCATGGAAATTAAACCTGAGAATCTCTGATGCACACTGCCTAATGTCCACAGCATTGCCCTCTGAAAAACAACATTCTAAGTTGTGTCTTCATCAAATATTCAAATCAATTCAAATGGATTTGAACCGCCATTCTTTTAATGGTCAATCCCATCAACCTTTGTACACATCATGTAAGTTATAGTGAAAGTACACTTCAAAATCTATTTGTTTTGTTTTTCTTCACAGGACAGAAGCAGGATTTCAGATCACATAGTTTCTCAATATTGGGAGAACAAATCCAACAATTTTACCCACACAAATACATCAGAATGGAATTGTTCCATAGCAGAGTCATGGTACAGTGTGCTTGTGTTTTGGGAGTCTAACATAAATGTTGAATTAGTTGAAATTACTTTGAATTTGACTCTTAAAATTCTTAGGCTGTAAATACCGCAGCCCAAAACCTTTTCACCTTAACCAGGGCTTGACACTAATAGTAGTCCACTAGCCACAGACTAGTAAAAATTCAGTTTTGGCAAGGGGTTTTTGATTTCCAGAAGCCAGTTTGGCTAGTAAACAAACTGAAATTGTCGTAACATCTAAGATTTCATGAGCCACTTTGCTAGTAAGTTGAAAAGTTAGTGTCAAGCCCTGCCTTAACATCAGAATGCATATTCTCCATACTGTTCTTATTATTAAGTAAGTAAGTATTTATAAGTAAGTAAATAAACACTTTATTAATAGAGGGTAGCACTAAATAGCTAAAAGCTAATGAACTCTTTACATAATTATAGTACTTTGTTTGGCAATCAAGAGCTGTTTTAGTTGGTGATCATTTCCTTTATTCTCCTGACCTAAATGTTTGTTAAGGAGTGGTGTGGTAAGGAGAAATAAGATGCTAATCACTGTTAGGTGAAAGTGCAATTATGTAAAACTCTGTGGTCTGTGGCTTGCAAATTAACAACTCTGCTTCTTTCATATAAATGCAATTCACTTTAATTCTGATTAGCAGACACCGGTTGAAACTAAAGAAAATGACAAATGGTTACAATAGTTACACAATGTAAAACCTAAAGAAATAATGAATGACGAGACAGATAGAGGACTATAAAATACTTACATTGTTATGGCCACAGAGATATTACTAAACTACGTTTAGTGAACTTAAGATGAAAAAAACAGTTACATGATGAATTATGCAGGTAGCACAGAGCAACATAAGGCAGCAACGAAATGACAAAGAAAAGCTCTTATGAAACAAGTATAATATTACAGAGTGAAAAAGACTTATTAAATAAATGAACTCCAAACATGCAAAAAGAAAAAAAAAAAACCAACAAGAAAAAATGTCACTAAGAACTTACACTAGGAATTTAGGGTTAATCATAGAAAGAGTGATTTCCCTTTGCAGCATTTTTTTAAATTTTGAAACCTCAGGGATAGTTATCAAAGTGGACGCAACCCATTTTATCACAGCGGCTCAAACAAGACATTAACAGAGACTCAGATTGTGAGAGATACCTTGTGGTGAGACTTAACATAGATCTGTTCTTTTTTTTTAATCCTTTGTCTTTATCTTGCCATAATTTCTCTGGATTGTCAAAACAAGGCACATCTTGTAAAAACACCAACACACCAAAATGCCTTATAATTAAGATATTTGTATGGAAGCTCACTGTTTATATTTTTCTGTGGTCTTCACTCATATACACCACTTTGAATCTTGTACATGTTTTCACAACCATAATATGAAACAAAATTAATTAAACTGAAAAACTCAAATCAAACTGGCTACAAATTAAAATTTTAATCAAACCAAGGTTTCTTCATAGGATGCTTGCAGGAGCACAAAACACATTTGTGTACAGACATGGTCAGTACGGCAGAATAACTGTCCAGGGCCATATCCAAGTTCTTCACCTAACTCCAGTAAGTTAGTTTTTAGTTAGCAATCATTCCTTTCAACTATGTATATCAATTAACTGCACATGCTGTGTTTCAAAATTTTTCATGGTTTTAAAATTTTCAAGGCAGTTTTATCTGTATTTTCATTTTTTCAGTATTCATTGTAATGATCTGAGATAAAGGGAAAATGGAGGCTGAGAAACTGAAAATTGAAAAGTTTCAAACAAAATCTTGTATCTTTGACATCAGCCTTGGCCTTCAGCTTCTGCAGATAACTCAGACCGCAGTGGTGATAATTTATGGTGTCATACCCAACTTCATCCAATATTTACTTTTCATAAGACATACAATATCAAGGTCCCATTTATGCTCAATTTGTTGACATATGGAGCCCTGATAGTTGTTGTACTTACAGGTAATGTAGATGGGTTTGAATTTTTAAGGCTTATACCTTTCAGGAATCTCTTTCCAGTTTGTTGTCGTCATTTGCCTTGGCTGGAGAGGAGAGTCTGTCTTTACAGACGTTCATTTTGTCATTTGTCGATCCACAAAGCAAGCCAACACAGACATTGCAAGCATTCGTAAATGCACTGTCTGGGTACTTTAAGGTAAAACAAAGTTGTTTTCTGGTGTTTGGAGACCCTTGAGAAACACTCGTGATTGTTTTAGAAATACTGGTATTTGTAGACAAGTGTAAAAAAAAATCTTTTCATGGAATTTGAATAATACCTTGTATTGCCCTAAGACAACGTTTCTTTCATTTTCTTTCCAGGAGTTCAAATCCCTTCTTTCTTCCCTTGAAAAAGACATTATCAAACAGGGTAAACTAAATAAAATTATTTTTCTTTAATTATGATAACATTATATTCTCTGATTTATTTTACTGATATGGGTTTTTGGTCAAGTGGGTGTAAAAAGACTGATTGGATGCTTACAGTTGTAATTAATAAACTTTTAATAAATAAATAATTGATAATTCTGCCTTCAATTAAGATTACAAACCATATTGAAAATCACTTAATAAATGATTAAATCAATATATATCTATATATATATATAAACGATTATTTAGGAAAATAAAAATTAAAACTTGGTACTACAGATCTGTTTCGAAAGGGTTAAAAGTCCTCTCTCGTCAGGTGGATAAGACACTAGTTGACTAACGATCCTTTTAAGTAGGTGGTTTGAGCAGCCTTATCAAATATTTAGTTGAGTGCCGGCACGCACTCGCCAGTTCGTTCCTTTTGTTTAGGGTGCCCGCCCCTGTTCTGCATATGATAAAGAATTTTTCAGCTATGCAAAGATTGCATCTCTTTGTGGTATTTGAGTACGGCCTGGCACGAGCTATTATTTTCCAGGTCACGGAAAACTCCGTTTCAGCATCCTTTAGGGACCAGATATATTTGCTCAACTCTGTTGCGTTCCTTTTGTTCTCATGTCTAAATGAAGCTGTATGATTTCTAAATCTTGTTTTAAATTGGTTCGCAGTAAGGCCGACGTACGTTTGGGTTCCCAAGGGACTTTCAACTGTGGCCTGGTAGACCACATTTTGAATTAGGCAATTGCCACGTAACGGGCAAGAGTGTTTGTCTCTACAATTGCATGATTTTTCTTGCGATTGAGAATTATTTGCGAGGGAGGACTTGTTGTGGGCGTCGATTTTTCTTTCTAAATTTGGCATGCACGAATAGCTTACTTTCAAAGTGTTCCTATTAAAAATTTTTCTTAGCG